GGGATTGTGAGGAAATATGAAGGACCCGAAGAAGACCAGCAGCAACACGTTCACGGACAAAATGAATGTCTAGACCAATATGTTTGGTGCGAGCATGATTAACCGGATTTGCAGCTAGGTATGTAGCAGAAACATTATCACACAAGATGACCGGGCGATGTGAGAGCTTGATTTGAAGTTCAGATAGAAGATTCTCCAACCAGACGGATTCAGCCAACGCAGAGGAAACAGCACGGTACTCAGACTCAGCAGAAGATCGAGACACAGTGGATTGTTTCTTGGAAGACCAGGAAACTAGTGAGGAGCCCAAGAAAACACAAAAACCAGTCGTAGAGCGGCGAGTAGTAGGGCATCCAGCCCAATTAGCATCGGAATATGTAACAAGGCGATCAAGGGGGCCAGCACGGAAATGTGTACCATAGTGAAGTGTGCCCTTAATGTAACGGAGAATGCATTTGACCGCCTGAAAGTGCTGCTCACGAGGATCATGCATATGTTGACAGACAAGATTAACCGCATACTGAATATCTGGTCTGGTGAAAGTAAGATACCGTAATGCACCCACCAAGCTGCGATAGAGAGTCAGATTCTGAAAAGGCGGGGACATATCAACCAAAAATTGAAAAGTCGGAGCAAGTGGAGTTACAACTGGATTGGCATCGGTGAGATGACTGCGACCAAGCAACTCCTTAGCATACTTGCGTTGGTGTAAAAACCAACCACCAGAGTGAGGAGCAACAGAAATACCAAGGAAATAGCTGATTGGACCAAGATTCGTCATTGCGAAAGCTCCTTTCAGCGACTGAATAATAATAGTGAGGAGATGATTGCTGGAAGCTGTCAAGAGAATGTCATCAACATAAAGTAACAAAACAGCCATATCCGATCCAGAAGAATACACAAACATGGAAGTGTCCGAGCGACTGCCTTGAAAACCCTGTGCAAGCAGAAAAGCAGTGAAACGATGAAACCAAGCTCTGGGAGCTTGCTTTAAGCCATAAAGAGCTTTGTTCAACCGACAAACATAGCGACGATGGTCTGGATGAACAAAACCAGTAGGCTGTTTCATGTAGACAATTTCATTAAGATGACCATGCAAAAACGCATTTTTAACGTCCAACTGATGAACGGGCCATTTTCGAGAAGCAGCAATACTTAAGACAGTCCGAATTATCACAGGTTTAACCACTGGACTAAACGTTTGGTCATAATCAAGTCCAGGCTGCTGATTATAGCTTGAGCGACCAAACGTGCCTTACATCGATCGAGAGAGCCATCATATTTTAACTTGACTCGAAAAATCCATTTGGAGCCGATAATATTGGCAGAGACAGGGGGAGGGACTAAATCCCATGTATGATTAGTGAGGAGAGCATTAAATTCGTCATTCATAGCGGCAAACCATTCAGGGTATTTATTCGCTTCAATGAAGGATTTTGGTTCAGTAGGGAGTGAAGAGGACGTAGAAGTGGCAGTAAGAGAGAGAATCTGTTTAGGTTTATGAGTACCATCACGAGTTCTAGTGACCATATGATGAATAGGGGGATTTGAAAGAGGAGGATCTGAAGTATGTGATAATGAAATGGAAGGTGTGGGTGCAGATACTAAAGGAACGGATGACACATGTTTTTGTGAAGGAGAAGCAACCAATGGAGAGGATTCTGATGAAGGGAGGGATCGTGAAATAAGGAACGGGGGATTTTTAAAAGGAGATTGTGGAGGATTGTTTTGGGGAACCAAAGAGAGTTGAGGAAATGGAAAAGAGGTTTCATAAAAAACGACATGACGGGAAGTATAGACTTTCTTAGAAATAGGATCAAAACAACGATAGCCCTTATAAGATTTAGGATAACCAAGAAAGATACACGGAGCGGAGCGAGGATGGAGCTTATGAGAAGCTAAATGAGAAAGATTGGGAAAACAGGAACACTCAAACACCCTTAAGGAACCATAGTTAGGTGGATGACCAAAAAGAAGGGAGAAAGGAATTGCTCCATTTTTAGATTTAGTAGGTAAACGATTTAACAGATAGACACTAGTATGTAAAGCCTCTACCCAGAATGTATGCGGTAAGTGAGCTTGATGCAGAAGCATGCGGATCATATTGATTAGTGTTTTATTCATGCGCTCAGCCTTGCCGTTTTGTTGAGGAGTGTACGGACAAGAGATACGCATTGTGATCCCCTTAGATTTAAGAAAAGACTGAAGATAATGAGAATCAACATATTCAGCTGCACCGTCAGACTGAAGAGTTTTGATGGAAGCATTGAATTGAGTTTGAACAAGAGTATAAAATTCAACAAACTTTTGAGGAACCTCGGATTTATTTTTAAGAGGATACACCCATAAATAATGAGTGAAATCATCAAGAAAGAGTACAAAATACTTGAGACCATTGAAGGAATGACACGGAGAGGTCCAAACATCTGTATGTATAAGGTCAAAAGCACTAAAGGTAACCGAAGAAGAAGGCATAAAAGGGAGCTTATGATGCTTCCCAATTTGACAAGGCTGACAAAGACTAAGTTTATTTGAAGAGATGACGGAGCCAGGAAGACTTCGACTGGACACTAAACTGGACAAAACGGAGGCATTCCGGTGACCAAGGCGTTGATGCCATAATTGAGAAGAGACGGAAGCAGCAAACACCGGACAAGACAGAGAAGACGGTGCAAGGGATGGATGGAACAATGAGGGCGGAAATGTATAAAGGGAACCAGTACTATTGCAACGTAGACGAGGGGTCCTCGTTCAAAGATCCTTCACAGAAAAACCAAAAGGGTCAAAACTCAACAGAGCATTGATTTTCAGTGAAAAATTGACGCACAGAGATTAGATTTTTGGTAAGCGAAGGAACATGGTAAACATTAGAGAAATGAAACTGAGAACAAGAGAGTTGACCAACGGATTGAATAGGTAAAGAATGACCATTACCAATAATGACTCGAGTAGAACCAGTGAAAGGTTTTGAATTCGTAAGAGTACCTTGAGAGGGAGTCATAGTGTTACCACAAGCAGTGTCCATATACCAGGAGGAATCATCAGATGGGGGAATAGAAAGGCGATTATTGTGACCCCCAAAGTAAGCGGGCTGTTGAAATTGATAGCAATCTCGAGCAGAGTGATTGAATTGATTGCACGATTGGCAACGAACAGCAGTGGGATTGGACTGAAAAGAGGGAGCCGGACCAAGAAGAGAGGGAGCACGTTACCTTGGAGTAAACATAGGAGCTGTATAAGAGTTAAAAGGTGCAGAAAACAAGGAGGGATACTAACCAAAAAATTGGTTGCGTCCACGCCCATGGCCACGTCCCCGATTATTCTGAAAACCGTGACCCCTGCCACGGCCACGATTGGAAGACGGCTGCTGTTGAGAAGGGGTATTGGACTTCTGCTGTGGAAGGTTAGTGGAAGATGCCGCGACCAGAGCGTTGGTAGGCGTGGAGAGGGAAGAAGGAGTAGTGTGCTGAAGTTGCACTTCATGCAGGAAGAGCATTGATCGAGCTTCAACAAAGTTGGGTAAAGGAACGCGATGGCTAATGGTAGTAGAGACAGACTGGTAGGTCGAAGGAAGACCAGCCAGAATTTGAAGCACCAAGTCATCGTCGGAGATGGGAGAACCGACGGCTGTTAATGAATCAGCCAACATCTTAAGCTTGGTAACATACTCATTAATGGTTAATTCTCCTTTCTTTAAGCTATGAAACTCCAATTTCAATTGGAGAAGGTAGGAACCAAGCTGATCGTGGAAGAGTTTCTCAATGGTGAGCCACGCATCGCGGGCAGTAAGGGAAGAATTGGGCCGAACTATGGCTTGCAAAATTCGGTGGAAACAGTGGCTTGGATCTAGGAGAGGACAATGGAGTCAATTTGGGTCCAAGTTCAAAAAGCAGGATTTGGAGTTGATGAGGAAATGCCATCAGCAGCAGCGAGAGTTGATGGAGGCCAAGGATCGGAGCCATCGATATGACCAATCACGGCATGTCCGCGAAAGACAGGAAGAAAAAGCTCTTTCCATAACATGTAGTTTGTGAAATCCAGAACGGAAGTCACATAATTCTTGATGTTAGAGAGACCAATAGCCGGATGAGAAGGTGGTGTCAGGAAAGAATTGGGTGGCATGGCCTCGGTTGATTGAAGATCAGTTTGCTGTGAGAGAGCAGAGGTCACGGCGAAGTTCGTCATGGCGACAGGGAGGCAAAGCCGAAGAGAAGAAGCAGCATGTTTTGTTTTTTGTTTTTTTTTTTTATTTTTTTTAATTTTTTTTTGTTTTGTTTTTGTTTTGTTTTTTTGTTTTTTTTTTTTTTTGAACTAATGAAACAGCTGCGGCAGCAAAAGGGCGGACAAAAGGTCACCGGGGATTAGCGCAGTGGATTAGCGCGTTTGACTTCGGATCAAAAGGTCGTGTGTGTGTGAGTGTGTGCCGGATGCAAAAGGGCGGTGCTGGTAGGAAGATCAAGAAAGACAGGATGATGATGATGATGAACAGCAGCAGCAGATGAGCAAAGGAGATCCGCCGCCGACAAGCAAAGGAGATCGAGCAAAGGAGATCTGACAAAGCAAGGTTTTTTTTTTTTTTTAAGAACGAAGACCGCCGCCGACGAGCAACACACCTACTGTAACAAATCCGCCGGTAGGGAAGAAGAAAATTGAGATTTGAGACAATGATGGAGATCCGCCAGCAAGGAAAAAGACAATTGATAGTTGAGATGATGATGGAGATCCGCCGGAAAATTGAGGAAAATATTCCAACGCCGGAAAATTGAGGAGTTGGGGCTTTCGGCGGTTCGGCAAGAGAAGAACAGGGGAAGCCGGCAAGGGAGAGAAAGAAAAGAAAGCTGACGACAGAAACCCTAAAAAATTGAGAGGCCAGGAAAGAAGGATGATACCATGAAAGAATTATATTGTGTGTGTTATTCACATGATACATTGTGGTATTTATAGTACAATAGTGTAACAACTCTAGCCGTCTACATGGGAAACCCTAATTAGGGTTTCGATTATTTCCATATCCTATCAGAAACAAGGTCGCCCAACCAGTCAGGTAGGCTTTCTAAAGCGCCAAAATCCACAAGAACCAACTCTTGTAAAAACTGATCAGGGAGCTGAGTATGATAAAGTCCAGATAAACATAGAAGTTTGAGTTTGGAAGAATAGGATGACAATCCTGACCAGTCGAAATAATTAATCGAATCATTGGAGAAAGGACCAATGGACACTTCCGATAAGTTGGGGAGGTGACCAAATCCTCTGGGCGTATCATTTTGGATGAATAGCTTTGGACAATCTTGGAACCAAAACTCTTGGATAGAAGGTGTTTCCTGCAAATCAACGGGGCATGACACAAGATTCGGACAGTTAATCACCCAAAAAGACTCAAGATCTGAACAACCTTCCAGTATTTCATTCTGTATATTAGTCAAACTTGTGCAACTAAAAATGCAAAACATCTTCAAAGAGGTGAGGTGGTTATCATCATGACTGAAGCTGTTGTGGTGATCAAGTAGTCCAACCACATCAGAGAGACAATTCAGTCCATCCACACTCGCTATGATCAAAATTTCCGGAACTCTAGCCACTCCGCTTGTCAGAATATTTTTAATCACCAAAGGTTTCACATTTCCGGATACCCACAGGCCGTGAAGAGCTGGAAACATAGTTGGAGTGGCACTCAGTTGGCTACAATCAGAAATACTCAGTTCCCTAAGCCTGGGAAACCGAGCAACATCATCACCACCAACGGTTTCTGCTTCTTTCCATTCAGTTAAACTTCTCATCTTCCCGAATCTTAGAGTTTCAAGATATCTCAGATTATAGAGCCCTGAAAGTTGAGTGCAATTCTCGCAGCCTTGCAACTGTAGTTCAGTCAACGATGACAACTTCCCTAGCCATTCGGGAAATTGATTGCCCATAAAATTTACGATTCTCAACTCTTGTAGATTCGGATGAGGTTTCAGGCATTCCAATACTTCTTCTTCATCGCAAGTTTCAGTGCCATCACGACGTTCTTCACTACTCCCCCACTCAAATCCCAACGCTATCAAATTCTGCTTCTTTGATAAATTTGTTACTTTTGCCGCTTCTTTACCTTGTACTAATTCAAGATTGCGTATCACGAGGCTACCTTCAAGTTGTTTCATGGGACCGAGCTCCTGTATTCCACGACCTTCATCAACTTCTCCTACATTGAAGAACTCCAAAGTCTGAAGACATGATAGTCTTCCCAACTCTGGGGGCATTTGGAACTTCTTATCGTAGTTGATATACTGAAGGTGTCTCAAACTGATCAGATTTTTCATCCCCCGTGGAAGAACTTGCAGATCATAGCACCATTTCAACCTCAATGTTTGCAAATTGTAAAGCTTACAAATAGATTCAGGGAGCACCTTGATTTTTGAATGTGAAAGGTCAAGATGGGTTAAATGATTCAATGTGCTGATTGCGGGTAAGTAATCTGTTATGTTCCCCCACGAAGCTTTCAGCAGGCGTAGTGACTTATACTTGGATAACATTTCATCAGAAATGCTACCCTTCACAAACAGTGTTCTTACTGATTCTGCATTAGTCAATACCTGATTCTGCTTCCGTCGTCTAAACGAGTCTAATACAAGGCTCCTTTTTGGCTTGGAAACTCGTACAGTAAGGTCATGAACAAGATCGTGAATTCTATAAGTTGGGTGATATTTAGAATAATAATCTGTTTTCTCCAACAGGGAACTCTGTACCAGAATTCTAAGATAGTTGCCACCTATTTCCTCCATTGTTGATGATGCTCCTCTATCAAGATCGAGAAAACCCTCTGCCATCCATAGCTGGATTAGATCATCCCTATACATGTTTTCATCCTCGTGAAATATCGAGAGATAAGCAAAGCATCTCTTGATGGATGGATGTGGCAAATAGTCGAAGCTCAACTTGAGTACCTGCATAATGCCAGTAGCGCCTTCATGATCGCCACCAAACTTCAAAATCTTATCTTTCACGATGGAAAACCAGTCTTCTTTCTTCTGCAAACTTAGGAGCCCTCCAATTACATTCGCAGCCAGCGGCAGACCTTGACATCTCTTCAAGATTTGGTCTTTGAGGGCATTCAACTCTCCCGGTATAGTACCATCTTTAGTTGCCTTTCGTGTAATGACAGACCAACAACCATCATCTCCAAGCTTTTCCAAAAAAAAGGCAGGGCCATGGCTGGATACAAGAGTTGCTGTTGTCAGCAAACGAGTAGTCAAAAGACAACAGCTTCCATTGGAAGTGCTTAGTCCCTTCAAAGAACAAAAAACGTCATTCCAGAATTCTTGATTCTCATTCCAAACATCGTCAAGAACTAAGAGAAACCTTTCCCCATGAAGCCTTGATCGAATATTTTGGACTATAGGCTCTTGGCTAGTCATTTTAACCTCATCTCCCGTTAGTGTCTCCAAAATCAATCTAAAAAGCTCAGTCACTTCAATCTTTTTAGTCACGCAGATCCAAATTTTCTTGGAGAAGTGACTGTCAATTTGTTTTTGGTTGTAGACTGACTTCACTAAAGTTGTTTTTCTTAATCCCCCCATACCAACAATGGGAAGAGTATAAACACCATCTTTATCACAGAAACCCAACAACTTGGCCACAATTTCAGATACTTCTTTATCTCTTCCGACAACGAGGTCGGGAACAAGAGAATTAGTCTGTCGACTGACCACGGAGACGACTTCTTCGGCAGGACCAGGAACCATTAATGCATTTCTGATTAGTCCGATCTCATTGGCTTTCAGATTGCAACTCGTCAACTTTGCGTTGACCTCCCGGATTTTGGAACTCATTTTCATTCGAAAACGAAGTTCATATGTAGGTGAGGAGAAAAATAAAAGTACCTTCCCCCACTTAGAGTATTTGTTGATGGATTTCACCTGTTGCCGGATAATCTGGTAGTTGAGTTCACTGAAGACGTTGCTAGCATCAAAAGCCACACTTTCAACTTTGTCCAGCCAAAGTCGCACCACCTCGCTTTCGGTTTCCTTTTTCTCAGCATCAGCCAACACCGCTTCGATCTGTCGAGCAGATGCTCCCAAGGATTCCACCTCCTTCTCGAATCCAAACACTGAAAAAATCCCTGGTGTCGCCACCGAAATCACCTTCCCCACCAGAAATTTCACACCATCAACAACAAGAGCTTCAGCCATTTCTTTCTTTTCCCTTTTTTTTTTCTTCTCTTGGGAACAGTGTGTAATGTGAGAATTGAGTATTGAGGACACGACCTCAATGGGTGTAGTGAGCAAATGAATCTTGTGTTAGGTAACTTACCAGCTGATTCATTGATTGATTGATCGTAGAAGTGGTCAATAGTTTGTTTCTTAATTAATTTTGTCCATTCACCATCATAATAATATAATCTCTTCGAGGTTTCCATTTCACGTACGACAAATATTGCCACTTGCCTAGTCACCAAAGTCTCTTTTGATTCGCTAATGAATTACTTGAAAATGGAAACTTTAAGACCCCTGTCTGCACTCTGCAACCTGCCTCGTAAACTAATTAGATCCTTTTCCCTCATCATCAACTTCATTATCGAATAAAGTAACAAATATCGTCTACCTAACCCTTGTCCACTAATCAAAGCCTCTTTCGCTTTCGTTAAAGGAATATACTCGATTCCGCTCGAAGTTGATTGGTCTGGTGAGCAAAATGAATGTTGTCCGAAAGGTGCTTGATTAATTGATTGTGGACTAATTGGTTAATCCTACATTTCGGTTATCATTCATTCACTAACAAAATGGCGGACGGTTTTACAAACATATACATGGGAGATAATACGGCGTCGGTCCCAAAATAGACGCGTTATAAATAGTGAAGTAATGTAAATTATATAATAGAAAAAATAATTTTTTAATAATTAAAATGGTAAATCACACTGTTATCTAACCTTAATACACTTTCTACAAAATATGTTAACAAATTTATCAGTAGTAAAAACTTAACATACTTTTACATCGTAAGAACAAAATGATATCACTAAAACGTATCACTTCTTATTTAAACGAAAGTGATACATAGTATTCTGATTCCGAAAACTAAAAAGGATAAGACAAGTGAACAATAAAATAAAATAAAAGTTTTGTAACACAAGAAAAAAACAAACCAAAAGAAAAGAAAAAATATATTAAAAAAATTAAATTTGATAATTGAGAAGAAAAAGATGGAGATGACTAATGAGAAATGAAAGATGATAACCTCCGATAGACTTCAGATTGAGAGGTAAAAATAAAAACTTGAAAGAAAGAAAGAAAGAAGAAAAAAGTGATTAAATCTTATGCCCTTTAGAATTATATATAAGTAAAGTTACGGTACATGACTTTTAATATTATTTTGAGTTATGAAACAATCTAAACTACCATTGAGCGACCTATTAAATTCTAAAAAAAAAAAAAGAAGAGAAGAAGAAAAGACATTAAGGAATTCAAAGTGGTTGGAATCAACAAAACAGCTTTTAGACCGATCAAATTCATCTAATAATGAGAATTTTTCTTTTTGTGATCTTAAAACTAAAAATTAATAGTTAGAGTCATCAAAACCCTTTTTAGACCGATCAAATTCACCTAATAATGAGAAATAGTTTTTTTGTGATCTTAAAAACAAAAATTAATGAAAGGAAGATCAAAGGTTCTTTATATTGTTTTATAATAAAGAGCAGTTAATTATCTTTAACATCCTCCTTCAAACTGAGTCGGGGCTGGGGACCCAGTTTGCTTTGACTATGTTGATGGCTTTCTCGTCCTTAAGAACAGTAGTAGACTCCGTTTTGAATGATTCTGGCTATATTTTGGACAACTTGCTTGAAATTTCTGTTTGCGTTGTTAAATTGTTGTATGACAAGTCAAAGCTCTTCTTTTGAGAGATGGTGAGACTTTTGTCATAATGGAAAATTTTTTTATGAATTGTTAGATTGTTGAATGACAAGTCAAAACTTTTCTTCTAAGAGAAGATCAGACGTTTGTCATGGTGGAATTCTGGTCATTGGTAGTGGCGAGTCCATATCCACCACCTCCATTGGACCGACCCAATCAGCGGGTTCAGAGTCTAACCGACTCTGTAGAGGAGGTGCAAAATACTAAACCTAGTGAGATTCGCACATCTTCTAGACCTTTAAATAGGGATGATTACTTCGTCATTGAGGTACGCTATCCCTAACTCCAATAATCATATACGCAATACTCCATAACCCTATTTTCTGACTTAAGTATCGGAGTACCTACCCTCGGGAGACCTCCGGGGCCCTCTTTTCTAGGAAACCCCAATCGGAGTTCCAGTGTCCAACCGGAGTTACAATTCTAGGTTTCGTCAAGTGACACGCCCAGTGGGGCCCAAGAATTAGGGTTTGTGTCACTTAGCTTACTCAAGCCTTCGAAATTTTTCTTAGCCTTTGATCGTCGCTGCTAGTTAGGGTCCTCTGCTAAACAGGATGGCCGTAATCGACAGTGACAAGCCGTCATCACACTAGTCAAATATTAATTACCTACTTAATACAATTACTAGTAGTAAAGTAGCAAGCAAGGTCGATCCCATAGAGAAGGTTACCAAGTACCAGTTTAAAACTATTTTTTGTTATTATTTAGATTAACAATTTATTAATTTTAAACTATTCTAAACCTAAAACTAACAATTACAATTATTAAAAGATATAAATAAGTAAAAGTAAAACCTAGGGCATAGGGTTCACCAACCGACTATTCAGTTTAACTCAACCTATAGATATGTGACTTTTAACTCTCATTAATCTCACGACAATTCACCAATTTAAGAATTATACACTCTCGTGTCATAACCCTCTTACTTAAACTAACCCTATGACTACTCTCGTGACTATAGGAATTAATAAAAGCACATTAAGAACTTTGGAATTACTAGTCGCAAAGGCTGTGTTCCTACTCTCGTGGCTCACTACTTAAGTTTATTCCGACAAACTAATACTAGCATTCCACTCTTACTACTTCAGCTAGCACCTTAAAGCATGCAAATATTGATCAGATATTCACATGGATGAAAAACAAGAATAATAAATATCAACTAATGAAAAAGTCACAATCATGAATTAAATTAAATTAAATAGTACGGCGGCTACATCCAAAATCCTAGATTAAATAATTTAGCTACACATCATCTCAAAAATAAATAAAACAATGAAATCCGGGGGAAGTAGGCCAAAAGTTGAGTCCGAAGTTGCTTGCTTCCTCCTCCTCCAATGATATGTGTAGGTGATTTGGTGTGTAGAGGTGTTAGCTGTGGTGTTGATGGGGTGAGATGGAGGCAAGGAATTTTTGGGGCTGATTTGGTCTGTGGATGGGCTTGTTGGTGATGGTACGTAGAGAAAGGCTGGGAGGAGCAGTGGTGTGTGGAGGTGCGGGTGGGATTCGTGGGAGGAGGTGAGTTTTGGGTAAAGGTGTGGCTGCGTGGGAGTTGTGTGCTCAAGCATTCCCAAGCATTAAAACAAACAAAAACATTTAGGTATTTAATTCGGTGGCCTCAGAGATTCAATCATCATATAATACACAGACTTCAACTACCTCTACTATGGACTACCTAACAATGCAAACCATATGTACTTTTAGCCCCCACGCTTATGTGTGTGTACGATTCGTTTCTCAGGGATATCACTTTACATTTAACGTAGAAAACAAAAGCTCTACTGCAAATATGTCATATATTACACTTTAACACAGATTCACATTTCATACCATATTTCAATGCAATGGACCGCCAAACATACTATGAAGTAGAAGGACTTATCTCACAGACAAACTATTCCCCCTCGTAACCTATTCTTCGGTCCATGCGGCTTTTCTTCAGGACTTTTCCAACTCAAGCCACTATCCAGAGCATTTTTCCACTCCTATACATAGTGGCTCAGCAACTTATGGTAGTCTACATATCTATTTTTCCTCACCGGGACTGAGGACTCTCCGCTCAGGTTGCCAATTCCTCACCTCTCAATGGGCTAGCATCAACATTGAATTGTCTTCTTTTCTCCCTCTTTAAAATTAACCTAATCTCAGAAGCATCCGCCAACACCCCTCCCCCAAACTTACTTAACACAAAGTGTCAAAGCAAGAACGTTTTTTAAGGCTGATATTGGGTTAATGCCTTGCTTTTCCTTCACAACATGATGGGTTCCACATACAAATCATATAAGTATGAGTGAATCAAACACAACTTTTCATGGCATATTTACATCAAACTTATGCAACTATGTCTCACTTTAGGCTTATCCCACAGTCACGACTAAGTGCATAAAAAACAGGATATTCAAAACAACATATAGAAATACATAAGTTAAGCAATATAATTTAAAATAGCCTAATTCTTACATGCTATAGATAATCAAACCAACTTCATCATAGGCCTTTTTGGATTTTTCAATTTTTCCAGTTTTTATGGATTTTTTTAAAAACAAACACAAAACACACCAAATACAAAACACAAATTCCACTCCCCCATACTTAAATTATACATTGCCCTCAATGTATAAGACACAAAAAACAAGACAACCAAGTGAAAAGAAAAGAAAAGACATAAACAAAGAGAATGAAAAGAAACGACACAACCTTGGGAATGCAAAACAGAGGACCGGAATTGTTGAATAAACTGTTGCAACTGCTATCCAAGCACACGACCAACTTCTTCAAAATTTTGGATGTTTCATTTTCAGTACCACTGGACACCAGAGTTTCGCCCTTCCAACAATCCTAATAGCAAACTAAAGTAAATTAGAAAAACAAACCTACAAACAGATGATTAAGAAAAACCAAGAAAATCCAAAAATCAAAGATCTCCAGATAATCAGGAACAAAAAAACTTAACCATCAACTTATTTGCAAATTTAAGAAAATAAAATAAAGCAAATTAAAACTTGGGTTGCCTCCCAATAAGCGCTGTTTTATAGTCTTTAGCCGGACTCTATGGCTGATCTGTCAGAGTACCCATCTCGATACCAGAAGAAACCATGTTCAGCAACAACAATGAATCTCTTGTAGTGGTTCTCCTTTCCATGAGTAAACAAAAACTTATACTCTAACACTACAACATCCTCTTTCTCAAATTCAATCTTGTACCATTGATCCTCTTCTTGGTCTTTCATTGAACCATCTTTCACATCATCCTCAAAATCTCTTATACTAGGGACAACCTC